TTGTCATGGCAATAAGTTTGGCTGATGCAAAGGTCATTGTGCAGGGTTAAAGGGCAAAATCAGTGGTCCATGTTATCCCCCAACTGCAGTGCTCCACCACACCCACACGATTTTGAGGAATTAGGAAAAAAAAAAATAGGGGAACTAGCAGAAAGTGCAAATAAGAAGGAGACAGGTTTCAGCTCCTTCGGCATGTAGTAGAACATTCAATTTTGAGCTTTTCCTGTTTAACTTGATTCGTCTGCATGTGATTTTATTTATTTATTTATTTTTAAGTTTTCTATAGAAACCAAATAAAAGTCCAGGAGCATGCAGCTGGTTAATGTTAACAAAAGACCTTGATAGGATCATGTAAACTATATTGGATGTCATGCTTGGGGCCTTACTGCCAGCAACATTATAGACTTGTTTCATTAAAAGTGAATACTGTACACTGAATATGGGATAAATTTCTGCAGCCTTCATAATCTCACACAGTAAATATAATTTAGATGTAGGCACAGAACACACTCGGGTGTCACGGCTGAGCATGTCCTTGTGCAATCTCTTTCATTAAGTCCTTATGAAGCTACAAGTTGCAAATCCAAAATTCTGCTCCCTGAGGACACAGCTATGTGAGACATAAGTACTCTTTTAGTTCTCTGCCTATCCTGAATTGCTCTGTGAACCTAATCTTAAATACCATCATGTAACAATCACAAAAACTTTTGCTAAAGGCCATATATACTAATAAAAAGACAGTGGTGCTTCCAACATTTTGAAATGCTCTGAAAACCAACTTTTCCAATACTAAATACAACAAAATAACCTTCATAAAATATAACTTTTCTCCATTTACATTTTTTTAAAGGATTAGTAACCTATGCTTTTTAAGCACAGGAATCTGCGAAATAACTCCTAACATGGACAGATTTTTTTTTAACACATAAATTAAGAAACTGGAGAGTTTTAACCCAAGTCCAGTTTCCAAACAAGGAATATTCTTGTTTACTTTAAACATGGAAATGACATATATTTCCATTATAATTGTTAAAAAGTTAGCTTTACAAACAAGGGTACTTTAATTAAAAAAAAAATCTTAACAAAACTATACAGTGTACAAATTACTGTCTACAAGGTAGGCGGTTCATTCAGAAGATCCTCCCTTCTTCTCGCTACTTGCAGCTTCACAAATTCATTCACATATTTTCAATGGAGCTGCCCACCTGAACATCACCCCACAATTATATTGCTATAATTAATATTTTTGCCATGTCTTTATGTACAGTCTCCTTCACTGCCTTTTTATTTTTCCTTAGTCAAGCCTCAAACGTTCACGTCACTCCAGGGGAAACACACTTCAGTGGCACAGCCATGAGGCCAGGGCTGCAAAGCAACTTAATAAAGGCAGAACAGTGCACATAGTACGGGGTGGCTTGATTTAGTCAGAATACACTTCCTGGTGAAGGAGGAGGCCAGAGACTGGATTTGAGTTCTCAATCTTTTGAATTCTAGGCTCAAAAAAAAAAAAAAAAAAATGAAAAGAAACACACGCACACACATGCACACAGTAAAAGAAAAGCTCGTTCTCCCCAAAAACGGCTCTTCTATTAGAGAGGCAGGCAGAAAAACCCACAGCTTCTTAATAAACCAATTCACTCACATGGGAGCAGTTTGCTTTTAAAAATATTGCATCTGCGAGCTCAGTATTTTTTTTTTTTTTCCTGTAAGAGAGGTCAGAGATAAGAGCAAAGCTCAGCTAAGATCACCCGTCTTCCTACAAGGATTATCCCCATTTTTGACTATTGCACTTTAAAGTCTGAACTCGTTTGCGTTTCACCCTGCTGTGCTAGCCAGAGCTAAGGGCACTGCTCGCGGGCTGTCCCCAGCACACACCAGGATGTGCTGCAAGGGCAATACGTCGTTCATGTAGCTTCCCAGGGCAGAGCCTGGGAGATCCTTGAGGTGGGTGCACTACCTCTCCCTCGCTCTTAACAGCCATTTACTTAGTGAATGAATTCACTTACTATGGGGCTCAGAAAAAGAGCAACATAAAGTTGAACGTTTTGTTATCTTTTCTTAATTTATGCAGTTTAGCTATATATAAATCTTAAGGATTTCCTCTGCTACAGCGTCTCTCTTAGCAGCCTCTCCAGCCTTGCCTCCGCTCGCTCCTCCCGAGACGCCCCGCCACGCGCGGCCAGGGGATCCCACGGCCGTGGCCGGCGCCACGGGGGTGCCTCGGGGCGCGGGAGGCTCATCGGCAAGTCCCAACTGTTCTCTTTGCAAATCACACGTTTATTTACATCGCCACCGATGTCCGCGCGCCCAGAGCCTGCGCCCCGCCAGAGCCGCCGCCGGCGGAGGCCGGGGGCTGCAGCCCACACGCTGGGTGCCAGCAACCCCCCATCCCCTTCTCCAAAAAATGCCTGACGCGGACGAAAGAAAAGAATAATATTTACCAGCCGTGTAGACTAAGGGAGTCACATTCCCTGCAGGAACAACTCCGGAGTCAACTGGAGTCAATGGAGTTGCGCCAGCAGAGATTTGGCCCTGCATGTGCATTTCCTAGACAAAGCAAACATCTTTGTCGTTCTGAGCTAAAAACGTCTTCTGAAACGGACACTTTAGGACGCATTCGCTCTGCCAGAATGGAACGTGCTCCGTTTCACTGTGGGTCTTGACCTCTCTCTCTGTCTCTCTCACTCTCACTTTCTCTCCCATTTAAAAAAAAAAAAAAGAAAAAAAAAAGAGAAATTTTAAGAAAAGCAATTTCCTCAAGTCAAGTCTGCCTCCAACAGAATTCATTATTTATTTTCTCTTTTTTTTTAATCCAGAAATGATTTCAGCTTGCACCCCAGGTGGGAAGTTAAAAAGAGGGAACCGATTTGAAAGTTTGTCACAGTAGGCAGAACAGTCGCTTTGCAGCCCTTGCCTGGCTAAGGGTGCACTGCTTCACAGCTACACTGTAAAGTGTTAAAAATCCTCCCCACCCACCCCAGAATATATATATATGTATAAAAAAAAATCCCCTGTCCATCTCTCAGTACACAAAAGGACCTCATCACACTGCAAAAATAGCAGTACCCACTTTGGTCAATTAAAACAAACAAAAAAAAAGCATACATTATTCTTTTTTTTTTTTCTTTTAAATCTGTGTACTTACCTATAATAACCAATACAGCTAAAAGCACTACCTACATAGGCAAAACTTGGTATTGCATAATTCGTATAAATTTGAACCCCCTCCCCCCCAAATATTAATTGGAAGATGAAAAACATGAAAGATTAATAGAAAAAACACCAAAATACTGAAAATATTGCTGGTCGATTACAATTCTTAAGCGGCAACTATACACAGCCATGATATGCTTTATAAATGTGAGATAAAGGTATAACTGTCTAAAAAATCCATGATGTCACACTTTTTTCCCATCCAGAGTACAAAATATTTTGTCATAAAAATGGTAAAGATTTAAAATGATAATAAATGCAGCAAAACAAGTGTAGTGATGTCAATTTTTTTGTGTTTTTTGTTTTTATGTTTTTTTCCATTTTTTTTTAGATTTCAAGGCAAGGCACGTAATGTGGACACTATATCTTCGTGCAAATTAGGATTACTGGAAAGAGTATTTAAACTGATTATTTTTTAAAGAGACGTAGAGGCAAAATTTGTCTGCCCATGCACATTATATTTCTGTCAATATGTGAAAATTGTAGAACAAGGCTAAATTCTGAAAGCACCATGCAAGTTTTCAGCACCCTGTGATTAGACCTACTTTAAGAGTGCATTGTTTTAAATATAACGTATCCCCATCCTGGTTTTCCCAGTTTGTAAACGGTAAGCTTTGCCCTTGTGGCATGGATTTGCCTGTCTCTTTGTCTCTGTGATGCAGATTTTGCAGAACCATACGTAAACCCTATGGGTTCTTGATGCAACCAGTAACTTTAAATAAATAAGTCCTACCCCTCTGTGGAGGCAGCAGCTAACCAACATAAGTGCTGTGTTTCCATTGATTTCTTCTTTCTCAAGGACATGATTTGTCTTGATTTAATGCCTTTTAATGCCCCCAAAAACTGAGGGGAAAAATAAATTTGTTCAAAGCAATTCTTAATTCCTTTTTTTAATCCCCTCAATTTAGAGTCCAAGGGCTGAAGGACTTATAATGATGACCCCCTTAGATACGACTTTTAAATTGCACTTGCCTCTGTAAGTGTTACTTTAGTGGGGAAAGTTCTTGTTTTCTTTATGATTTTACTGTTGCATGCGGAGATAACACTTTTACCTACATAGAGGCATTTCTTCCATAGATCCTGTGTGTTTGTACTGACTTTGAAAATCTCAAGCTGGGTAACACACTAAGAAAGGCTTGGTGAAGGGCCAAAGATTAATAAATCCATACTGATAACTAAAGGCTACAGAGCTTATTCTTAAAACGTTTAGAAATCAGAGTGTTGAGAAAACGTGTGGCCCGTGGCCCTCGTCCTGCCGCAGCGCTGTTGCTGCCGCCTATAGCCTTTGTTTTGTGAGATAACCAGGAATAGCGATCCCATGCGTAAACAACAAGAATACTAAACCAATAAAACTAGCTTATCATGCAAATATTAAGGCATCTAGAAAGTCAGTTAAAATATATCGTCAGAGACAGAACATCTATTTCCCAGCGGACTTCATATAACAAAGGCTACTTAGCAGGGGCTGCGTTCTACCCATCACTGAAATATCATCGACCCTCTGCATATCATTACAGTTTCAACCATAAGGGAATTGTGATTGTAAATGCTGCAATTGCTGGTCTATTTTTCTTCTTTCTTCAGTTTCGTTTCTTATCCTTTCTTCTTTAGCTTTTCTTTTTTTTTTTTTTTTTAATTTTGCTTTTTTTTTTTTCCCTCAGTTGCTTGTTTCTGCTTGAAGGAAAGGCTCTCCAATTATGTTCAGACCATAATTTGGGACATTTGTTGGCAGGATCGGTGTCCTATTTGATACTTGAAAAGGAACCAAGCTAGCCCAGGTACCAGGACTGTTGAAAGAGGGGCCGGGGGGAAAGACAGGGAGAGAGAGAGAGAGAGAGAAAAAGAGAGAAAAATGAAACACAAATTAAGCATGTTGCAAAAACAAGAACACAATGAATTTGCATAACGATTAAAGCAATATTCATAACAACACTACTTAATATAAAATAAGAAAGCAAACGTGATCAGCACTTGAGCTTCAACTATGCAGTTTTCTTTGCAAAAGCATAACTTACACGAAGAAAAGTAATTTTGTCAATCTATCTCAATTTTAAGTAGCATTACTATTGTCTTACACTAAACTGCTTGTTTATCTATGAAAAAATTCCGGAGGTAAGTGAGCAGAGCAGATACAGCTAAACCATATACACACCATGTGGAGCCGTAGATGTTATTTAAGAGCTAGTTAATGAAATTCATTAGAGTATACAAGTTAGACTGATCTTGTCAAAAGCACAAAATAAATCTTAGAGTTTAAATTCCCTGTGCCTTTTCCCACTCTCTTGTGCTCAGCAGTTTATCTCCTCTGGAGGCACAAGCTATGCCTCTGAGGAGCACACGTCCCCAAAGAAACAGACAACTTGGACTAGAAGAGCTTTCAGATTGGGAAAAATCTTTTTTTTTTTTTTTTTTTTTTTTTTTTCCCCCTCAGGTATTCAGGGGAAACATCAGTGCCTGTAAGGAACAGGGATAACACAGAGTCCAATCGTGTAAACATTTGCTGTCAGTGGCAGCAATGAGTACCATACATTACTTCAACTGAATTACAACAAATGAATTATTTCAAAGAGAATTTAATGACTTTGAAACTTAAATCACGGTTTCAAAAGCACCTATGTCACTGTGGCGTTCCAGTCCCGATGACCCTCACATCTGTAGCAATCTCTGACTAGCAGTGGGTGCTGCACCCACTGTAAGGCGTTTGCATGAGGGGCTCTCTCAGAAAGGCGGCTGGAGCCGCCTCTATTCAGGAGCCAGAGCAGACCCCGCGCAGCCCTTTACTTAGATGTGTTTCTGGCAACACAGAAATAATGGGCTTTTGAGAAAGTCTGGTCAAATTTATTCAGAAGGAAAATGGCATCATTATGCCAGCAGTCACGAGCAGACAAGCACCACCACAACTGTGTGCAAACACAGGCCTCCTTCCTCCCGCACAGGGCCCCTCCGTGCCGGCACGGGGACGGCCGCAGGCCCCTCCGTGGGTGCCCTGCGATTTGCTGGACACACTTTACGACACACATAATCTGAACACGCTGGGGTGCTTGTGCAACAGCTGGGCACTACGAGGTCTATTTCTTGCCTACTAGCCTCTCCGTGGACAAGCCTGTACGCTTCTGGGTAACGCTCGCAGCAGGCATTAAGAAGAAACCAGACGCATTTTAACTACTTAAAACTTACATATAATAATTACACTTTGCTTGGCAGATCTATGTAATCCTTTCCTTTTCTGCTGTGTGAATGCTGCAGACAGGGGTCAACTTATTTTGTAAAATCCAGTAACGTTCCTCAGGTCATACATGCTAAAACTAATAACAGTAGTTTCTGTCACCTGCTACTGTTTGATATTCACCTTCCTATACCTGCTGATTTACTATTTTGATTCCTAACAACTTAGCATTGCACACCAGAATGCGGAAAAACCGGCAGCCATGACAGTCTCAGTCATGGCCAAAACCAGAAGGGTGCAGGACTAGCTTCATGCTCAAAGAATTATAAAAATGATGGATACCCGAAGATGTCTGAAATACATCTGAAGTAACAGTAATATTCAATAGCTTTTCTTTTGAATTGGGCATATTCTTGACAGTGATCTGAAAATCCACGATTTTTTAATCTTTTTTTAACAAAATATTTTCTGTGTTTTCAAAACATAAGATCATCTCTGTTTGAATAAAGACTTTTAAAAATCCAGTTGACTATTGTTGTTGTAGAAATACTTCCTTTTTGAAATTCAAACTCCCTATTTCTATAACAAATGTTAAAGTAATTGCAAAGAATTAAACCCATTTATGCAAGACAGATTTGTCCAACATGATCTGATGAAAAGATTATGGTTCTAAAAAAGTATTCAATACTAGAACATTTGAGGGACTTTATTGTTTCAACTTATTCTTCATCTTCCCTCATAATTTGTGTTTGAAAATGCATTTCTTTCTTCTTTCTCTTTGGATTTCATTGATGCTAAGAAGTAAATTATGAAACGAGCAACAATAGAAATCATTTCCAAATATAGAGATTTGTAAAAATGGGAAATAGGAATAAAGGAAAATAAAACAAAACAAAAAGTAGACTTGCTGGCTCAAAATCTGCCTGAATACATACTTCACAGTGCACAGTGCTTTGCAGTCCTCTTGCACACGATTAACAGTGTTCAGTCATTTTATACAAAAACTAACAGCAACTAAAAGCCTGTAAATTTTGTGCCAGGTCAACACAGTATTACATATTAAAACATTATTTTGATGCAAAGGCTAGATAGACTGCTTTCAAATTATTGTTATGGAGAAATACAGTGCACTTCGTTGTCTGGATGTTTATGTGACTTGTTGTTTTAAAGTTGACCACCTTTTAGTGTCCACAGTTGGGTGAGGGAAAGCAGATAATGCAGATAAAGAACAGATTTGTAACAGCTTTCTTAACCAGTACTCATACAGAGAAGACAGAGGTCTTGATATTTTGGAAAGTGCTCAATAAAAATAAATTGTAGTAAGTGACTAATAGGACTGTCATTGCCATATGACTAACAAATTTAATATAGATGTTTACTTAAACCTTTCAAACCTGCCATCTTATATTATGAACACGACAAAAATGCAGTGCGCAATAAATTTGTCAATGCTGCTTATGAATCCTTGGGGAGGAATAAATCTCCTCCGCTAGCGCTGCGCGGGCCCCAGACGAGTTTACGAGGCCCTGGCTCGCGGCGCGCGGGTCAAGCGCCGGGGCACGCGGACGTGCGCGCGCGAGGGGCGCTGCTCACCGCGCAGGTGTCCCCACGTCCTCCGACGGGGTCCCCAGCGGCAGGGTTTTCAGGTTGTGGTTTTCGCAACCCGCTTTCGGGAATTAGCAAGTGGCAGTTTGTTGAAACTGCATCCTGGGACGCTGCACTCTTCATACCTCTAGCAAGTATTTAGTGCAAACCGAAGGAAACACGAGTCAGAATGACTGGTATGAACAGCACAATGAAGCTCTAATCATGGCTATCCCACATGAATTCCCATAAAATTCCTAGTAAGTTTAGCTGAACCTTCAATGCCCCTGTGAGACGCACCTTGCTTGCAGTTCCCTAGGGCTTCTGTGTGCAAGCAAAACAAGGTTGATGTCCAGCATATGCACCAGACTGAGAGATCAGGAGATCAATATCCATCCCCTGCCACTTTCCTCTAACTTTTTGAAGCTGGCTTCTGTGGGAAGAGGAGAGCTGAGTTTCCACATCAGAAAAACAACCCTGTGATTTCTCCACAGAGCTGCCTAGCTAAGGCAGCAGTTAACAATAACTACAAGCGCTCCCAAGCTCTGCTGCTGCTCAGTGTGCACAGGGGCTGGCTGTCCCAGCACAGCTAAAGGGACATCCTTCTGCCTGCAGATAGAAAAAAACAATGTATGTATGACTGGAAAAAAAAGTGGATCTATTCCAGTGCAGCTCATGTTTCCGAAAGAAATCTGTGGGGCTGACAGAGGTTAGAGTATGTGCGTGTATATGTAAAACATGCACTTGTCACTTACTTAGAACATAATATGAGACCCAATCCTCCACATATACCCCAAGCATGCTCTAGGCTATGTCTTGAACAAATTTACAAGAAAAGCACCATCAGACATTTCTTGCAGATACCTGCGGGACTTGGACCGGTGGCCCTTGTGAGAGGGGCTGTGGCCCAGGAGAACACCCTCCCGAAGCCCTGCACCTCAGTCCCTTCACTAGCAGACACGGTGCTCTCCCACCACACCGAGGTTACCAGTATCACATGGGCTGTGCAGGCATCACAGGCTGTGCCCTGTCTACCCAGAGCAAGTATAATTTGTTTGTCCATTTGAATGTAATACAAGCAGCAAGGAAAAACTCTGCAAGTGTCCGAGGGGGTTAACATTCTCTGTTACAGCTATAACATGCTAATTCAATTAGGGTTTCTGCCATGAGTTCCTTCTGAAGATAATAATTGCTCTTTCAAGAAGCTCTGATTAAAATATTACTGGAATGGACCACTAGCAGTATCAGTTTTAAAGGTATATGCTTTCCATTTTTGACATTATTATGATAGCATAAAGACAATATTTTTTTTAAATGAATACAGTAGAGAATAAGTCCATTGGACTTGAGGAAATTAGAAGCATTTTAAAAGTTCTTATTTTCCACCAGTTAATATCTTTTCAAATTTTTCAACAGTCTATAAGGGCATTGCACTATTTGGAAAAGAAAGTCTCCTACTAACACAACAGCCTCATGAAACAGCATTTTCTTCTTGCAGCTGGTTTGCAAGCAGCTTACCCCAGGTAAATCACACCATGCCAGGCCAGTCTTTGGCTGGAGAGGTAGCAAAGCCTTTGATGCAGACATAAATGTCACAAGTGAGGCACTAAGCAAGGTTATTCTAAGTCTACTTTAAACAAGTACTCCCCACAGAAATATGGGGAAGTCTACCTTTTCAAATTGCTATACCACATGAACTTTGGAAGAGCAATCGTGCTAACTGCTGTGCCCTGGCCAAATTTCAACTCACACATTTCTGCCAAAGAAAAACCATCCCTCAACATCTACTTAATGCAGTACTCCTGCTACACTGCTATCTGCGGTTAAGCAGATGCCAAATGTCACCTCCAACATTGTTATTTATTCCAAGAGATACCATATTAAGTATATCTCTGCTTAACTTCGGAAGATTTTCATAGTATACTGGGCACATACAACCTGTCTAGCAAATGGAGGAGGTGAAGACCTTCTGGCTTATGCCTGGAGGGAGGAAAGGGGGTTTCTGCTCCTGTGATACTGCCTCTTTGGCCCACAGAC